TTGCATGAGGCTTTGGGGGGACAACTAGACACAAACCATAACACTCTCCATGTGAAGATCATGTGATTAGCAGTCTTAATTTCTCCATCCTCTTTGCCATGTTACCTAACATAGTCATAAATTCAGGGACTAAGCTGTGGGCATTACTGAGGGTCCATATTCTGCCTACCACGGGCAGCAGTGTGAGGAACTGAATTCCACATAGCAGCCCCATTCTAATGCTGCTCACACAGCTGTAACGTTTTACAACTTCTTACAATTCAGAAATCCTTTGCAGGGGCCAGGGAGAAATCTCAGTAGAATAAGTGCTTGCCTGGCAAGTGCAAGGTCCTGAGTTCAATCCCCGGTACCACCAAAAAAAAAAAAAAAGAAAGAAAATCCTTTGCAAAATGAACTCTATTGTTTATTAAACTCAAAGAACTCAATAATTGTTGCTCCAAAAGATACAATAGGGCTCATGTTCAGGAGATATCTCTTCTAAAATCATGCTAGAACTTATTTCCTGATTAGGTCTTATTTTCAGGGAAGCATGGTAACCAGCTGTGTTCTCCTTAGCCTGAAATTATTATTTAGTCACTTCCCTGTTCCGAGTGGCTGACCCAGGGGTCAGTCCAGGGGAGGGGCTCAGTGCCTATTGACTAGAAGTCAGTAAATAAAATAATGGTTCACAGAAGGGCTTTAATATCAACCTCCTGATTCATCTCAGAAAATGAGACTCTCAGAAAATGAGACTTGGTTGAGTTTTGAGAAAGTGTTAAAAAACCAATTTTGCGCACAATCGGGGGTCCAGTTGCTATTATCTTCCTTTCTTCCATTAAATGAGCTCTAAGATGGAAAAAAATCAGCAATTCCCATTATCTGAAACAGAAGTCTTCCAGATTCTTCAGATAAACAAAACAGGTCATACACTTTCTGCCTGGTCCACATGGGAACACAGCTGTATAGGAAATTCAAATGAACACTAAAACAAAATCATGCAATAAAGCCTCCTGACTCCCCAAACAACCACGAACTGAACCTTCTCAAGTAATTTTTCTAGGATTGGTATTGAAACATACAGAGAACTACTCCAGTTCCGAAAAATCTAGAGAAATTAAACCTTGTTTCCAAGAAGTGCAAAAGAAATAACTTGCACAACAAAATAACTATGTCTCAGCACCGGATAGAAAAGGAGCAGACCCGGTGCCTAACCGGGACACAGACACCAGGACTCCCCCAAGCTGCAACCGCAATATGGGCGCACAGCAAAGGAGAGTTCTTTCACTTGGCAGAATCAGCCAGAAATTTTCAGGTCTTGTGGAGTTCAGGCTCCACCATGAAAGCTTCAGCTGAGCCAGTTCTGAGTTCCATCTTCACTTTGACAGCCCCTTGGGATGCATCCAGCTTGCCGAACTGGAGATTCCGAAGGAAAGCTCCCCAGAGGCGCTGCACAGTCTGCAAAGTTTTCCACGTTTTATTCAAATAGCACTTCATCAGCAAAACACTCAACCTCGATTTCAAAAGTCTCCTGAATCCCAGGAAGAATATTTCAATGTACATCACATCATCTGATCCCTTAACAGGCCTGGCAGCTACTTGGGGCCGGAATCATAATCCAGTACCTACCACAGTGCCTGGCACATAGTCATAGCTTAATAAATGTTTACCAAGTCTGTAAACTGTCATCATTTTATAAAGGAAGAAACAGGCACAGAAAAAGTTAGGTGGCTTCCTCAAAGTGCCGAGCAGCAGGCAGGGCTAGGACTCTGCCTTCCCAGCTGCTAGCCTATCTATTCTCCCATTCTGGTATGCTGGCCTTCTGACTCTGGATGAATCAAGACCAGGACGACATTTCTGTCCTTGGCAACAAGCACTCACTGAACATATACCCTAAACTGGGCCTTTTCACCACTCTGCTCTCTGCCCAGCATCTGGCTCTTTCAAGTCTTGGTTTCAATGCACCCTCTTAAGCAAGGACTCTTGACTGCCACTTCCGAACCTGCCCTGCATCCTTGTGCTCATTACCTGCTGTCACAGTTGCCATTTGGAATTTCTCCCCAGTTTTCATCACTTTTTTTTTTTGCCAGCTCAGCCTGCCCTGGGGGTGGGGCTGGCACAGCATGTGGTGTGGGGAATTGAACCACAGTCCCCTGCATCTGCCTAAGCTTGCCTAAGTGGGTACTTTGGACCACTGAGCTATCTCACTGGCCCTTCACGACTTTGTATGGCTCTATCTCTTGTCTGTCCATCGGTCTCTGTCTTCTGTCTCTGCCTGTGTCTGTCTGTCTGTCTGTCTGTCTCTCTCTCTCTCTCTCTCTCTCTGTCTGTCTGTCTCTGGCAGGAGTGCTATGGTTGGCTTGCCCGCTTGCCCACCCTGGCATGTAAACTCCCCAAGGACAGGGTGCTGGCCCAGACTTGGTGCTGACTGCAGGATGACAGTGTGCTGCAGTGATGCCACCAAGCCCAAATGGTCTCAGCACAATCAGAGATGTAGAAGAGTGGAACTCTGGCAAGGATGTTTGGACGATAGAAAGGGAATGGGGTTGTGTATCCCAGGCACAGAAAGATCAAGGGCACATGCACCAGCCCCTCTTTTCCAATGCCCGGAGGCAGCAACAGGAAAAGGTGGACTCGCTCTCCTGGTGATCCAGGACTAGGGAGGGGGAGGGAACTTCAGGGAACAGGTTTTGTTTCAGGTACTCATTATGCTCATAACTATATTACTGTCTTCCATACTGGTATACAGATGCTGTGAGTGTAGTCACACATCCCTTCTATTCCTCGTACATGTGGCACAGCACATGCATTTTTGTCATTCAGTAGATAATCTGACGGAAGGACTGTTGTGTGGGCCATTAACCATAGGTCACTGTCTGCTCTGCCCATTCCTCATTTCTCTTCCTTTTGACTTATCTTGAAATCCAAGCTGAAATATCACTTTATTGAGGAAATCACCTCCAGTTCCTGTACCACCAGATTATAGTACCCTCTTAGTGCCTCCCATGTTTCCATCTGTATTGGAGATTATTTGATTCCTTAAGATCAGTTGCCCTACTAGGAGACAACTGGGCCCTCTTGGCTGAATGACTCTCAAGAACCCCATGAAATAGCTATCTGTACTCCTGCACAACACTCTCCCAGAGCCAGGATTGCCACTCAGTTGTGTGTTGCTATATGTACTGTGTGTTGAAATGAAGGCCTCAGGGAGCTCTTGAATGGGCTTAAACCTAGAGGCTAAATTTGAGTCACTGGCCAGCGTTGCACAAGAAGCAAGTAGCAGACCCCGGGCTTGAACTCCTCACTGTGTAACTCCAGTCTTGGGTTTTTCACTAAATGATGCAAATATAAATGCACTGTTTATGATTGCAAACTGCCACAGGAGACGGCCCTGCTGATGGACAGGCTGGGAGGTAGAGTGTGAAGAAATGCTGTCAGCCAGGTTGCCTTATCCAGGGGCCAGATCCCTGGCTAAGAATTTTGAGAAACTTCCTAACCAGGGGAACTCATGTCTTGTAGCCAACAGGGTACCAAAGGGAGGGACAGAACTAGGACTGTGCCCAACCCTGCCATGATGACAAGCAGGTGGTAGGCAGCAGGCTTGAAGTCTGCAATTCCCTTCACTGGCCTGGTTATCCTCAGGATGAATTACTGAGTGTGGAACCTGCCTGTGGAGCTAGCCAAGTATCGGGTTAAGAATTTGGGCTTTGGTTGGGCATAGTGACTTCCACTTGCGATCCCAGCATTCTGGGAGACTGAGGCAGCTGGACTCCCAAGTGTGATTCCAGCCTTGGCAACTTAGTGACTTAGTGACACTGTGTCTCAAAATTTAAAAAATATAAAATTTAAAAGGCTGGCACATAGTTCAGTGCAAAGGCCCTGGGTTCAACCCTTAGTGTTGTGGGGGGGGGGAATTTGGACTTTGGATTCAGACTGGATTTGAGTCTCGGCTCTGTGGCTAACTACATATGTGACCGTATCTCCGAACCACATTTTCTTCCTGTGAGAAGCAAATATACTCTCAAGGCATGGTTAAGACTGAACTAAAATGCAAATTAAGAAATATCTTATATACATATTGCCTGTACCCAAGAGGTGCTCAAAAATGGGAGAGCTTGGTGTGGTGGGGCATGCCTATAATTCCAGCGCTCTGAGAGGCTGAGGTAGAGGGATCACACATTCATAATCCAGCCTGGGCAATTTGGCATGACCCTGTCTCAAAACTAAAAAAGGGCCTCTGGATGTAGTTCAGTGCACAAGGCTTGGGTTCAACGCTTAGCACTGAAAAGAAAGGGGAGGGGGGAAGCACTGTGATCATTTCCAATACATTTTCAAGCCTCATCTTGCATCCACTTGGTGGTGTGCTTCTTGTCGTGAGCCTTCTAATAAAAGTCAGAACAACTGTACTTTCACTGCCTTACCTTCCAGCTCTGTCAGGTTAACTAATGCACTCATTCAAATCTAATGTAAGGCTTTGCATGGAGAGAGAAAATCTGAGTTAGTTCAAGTGAAGAGCCTGTTGCATATAAACTCCCGCCTGTGGCTCTCACTAGGCTGTGAGGATGCCGGAGTGGATGGTGACAAAACAGAACTGTCTGGTGCCATCAACCACTAGACCAAGTTCCTACCAAACATCTCACATATGGAAAGGGAGCTGTATCTCTAACTTGGACAGAGGATGATGTGTGCAATCATGCTTGCTTTTAAGCACTTGGAACTGTCTTGAAAACTGGACACAGAACCGACTTACCCATGTGACGGAATGAACACGTTTATGACATTCTCTCCTTCTGAGCTAACAGGCTGTGCATCAATGGAATGGAATTCGACTGCTTTCACCTGCATTTCTTAAATGATCCAATTGTGACCATAAGTAAATATATCTGACCTTGCCTATAAGCAGCAAAACTTTGCCACCCCATAACTTCATCTCTGTGAGGTTTCTGTTTATTTTTAAAACATCAGCCATCCCCCTACTCCAGTAGGTACACAGGTAGAAAAACAAATGAAGTCAGTGCTCTTTATGTCTGTCTAGAGTAAGCTGTGACTCAATATGGTGAGTGGTTATTTGCAAGGCTATAATTTTAATGACAGCTTTTCCTAAAAGAAACCACTATAACATCTGTCCAAGTACTCCAAGAGAAAACAAAAAATACATAAAGGTTAAAAGTCTATTAGTTCAACAGCACATTGCCAAACACAGACAACTAGGATAAATGCCAAGAGACCTTAAAAAACAACCTCAAAAGATGCAACATTCAAGTCAATCAAACATGTAAGATCCGCAATCAACAGAAAACAGGTCCAAGAGCAGGGTGTACTTCATCAAAGTTCACTCAGGTGTCTCAATCCGATAGGTGTCTGAGCAGAGATGGTTTTCCCTTCTTTGCATGGAGATGTGTACATTGATTTGAGGAGAAGAGACTCTTCCAGATGCTGATATGAGCACGGCAGGCTTGGTTCCCCTCTGATAAAAGTACCGAAGGCAGATTTAGAGGACTCAAGCTTTATCAGTTTTCCTAACGCATGCTGAAACAGACGAGATAGAATTTGTCATGCTAAGTATTTACAGCCATTTTCATAAAGTGAGCTCAGTAACCTGACAGAATAAAAAAGGTAGTTGTTAAATTATTGTATAACCTTTTACAACTTGGATAACTCTGTGGGTAAATAAACGCTGACATCAAAGCCCGTCAAACACACATTAACAAGAAATTACCGCATGAAGAGGCACACATCATATAAAACGTACACTTCACAGGAGGGAGTCCTGCATGGCAGGAAAGTTGCTACCACTACATAACAAATGGCTATGCCAACAGTCAAGGCTGCCACTAACGGGTACAACAGGAAAGTTCCCTTAAAATTTCAAGGAGTGTTTGCGAGAGCACAGAACCCTTCTGAGGAACAAGTATGCTTTGTTTGGAAGGATTTTTTGGTGGAAAATTTGGACATCACATTAAATAAAGTGATTTTCTAATTGGGTGAGATTTAAGGCAATGCTACTCAGACCTGAGGGGGAAAAACTGATAAGGTTGTACTCCGTTCTTCTGCATCATTAGCAGAATCAACAACAGAAAGTATTTCCCTTCCAAGTGTTCAATGCACCGTTAGGTATTTTGAGCATTACAAAATAGAATCCACTTGCATACTATGAATATGAAATGGCAAATTCTTCTGTGCTCTTCCTTGAAAAGTGTGAAAATAAAAACTCACATGGCAGCTTAGGTATCTAATATTAAAAATAACATGACAAAACAAACAACTATACCCAGTGCACACAAAGGCGCCACCTTACCATAAATGCTCCAGAGCGTATCGCTCTTATGACCGCCTTTGGTGTAGTATGGTGTGATCGTGGATTCATAAATTAACTTTTCACATCTACTACAAACTAACAAATGACAACATGACACAGTAAGTGTAAAAATTTTACATTTTGCTCCTGTTTGTCTGCTGAAGAGCAGCGATTTAAATCGTTATAAAAACTTCTGACAACAAAGCTTGCTATACAGATAAAGTACATGATCAAAAATTAAGCAGCAATTAGATTTCTTATTTAAACTTATCTGATATATTTACATATTTGGGAAGAGAGACCGCCGACATCACTATCCTCTTCGCTTCGTTCTTGCCCTCTGCCCCTCTCACCTGCCCAAGCCCCTCTGAATGAGAATCAAGTGCCCTGAACTATATACACCTGTACTTTGGCAAAGCCAGCTAGCTGGATGCGACTCCTACAGTCTTGGCCTGGAAAGCAAAACACTGAGGTCTTGGAGGTCATCTGCAGCCTGCTTTCAGAACAGCAGTGTATGGTGATCAGTGAGTCTGTGCTTTCATAGCAAGGGGGGGTAAAGGCCCCCACACTTCACTCCCCAACCTCAAAGGGGAGGGTCAAAATGCTGTCAGTTACTTGCACCACAGCGGGCCCCCAGAGAAAAGGGAAAGAAAAAGGTCATGACAAAGGCAGCAGCAATCAACAGAAGTTTACCAGAAAGGAACCTCTCCTCCCTGGGTTCCCTAGGAAATAACACTCCCTCGTCCCTCTCCCTCCCTCACCACACACACACACACACACACACACACACACACACACACGCAAGCACGCACATATGCACGCACATGCACACACATGCACGCACGCGCACACACACAAATTAATTCACATCACAAGAACTTGGTACTCTGGATAAGTGTCAGGTAAATATAAGAAAGAGAACATCTGTCACTTTTTATACTTTCACTGAGACATAAAGCTAACAGAACACACAACATCACTGTGAAAGTAACTTTCTATAACACATCCAGCCTATGTAGTGCAGCCATCAAAACTTAAAGGAATAGTTTGCTCACCATCTGCCTTGTACAGGATATTTATATTCTTTCTATGCCATATAAATAGCATTTATATAGCTTACACATTCAGAGACATGCACTAGGACAGTTTAGGTAGTACAAATTTCTTCACAATCACATGTGCAAATTATACAAATCACTAAGTATTAATAAGCTTAGGCTGGGCTGTGTCTCGTATCATCTAAAGAATTTAGTGCGGGTTCAGAATCATCCATAGGAAGAACCAGGCGCGTCCCTCGGATGACCAGTTCATGGTCTCCAAAAGCAAGCTCCCGATCCAAGGCGTCTTCAGAGCTGTTGCCCATGAACCTCCTTGGGGCACTAGATGGTGCTGACTCGGTGTTCACAGTAGAATCCCCATACGTCAAACTAATATCACCGTCATTCAGAATAAGATCGGAGTCATCGTCTTTCAATTGCTCCTGGTTCTAAACACAAATAAAATAAGGTTAAGACCACTTTCCAATAGAATGTTTTTTCTTTTCTTTTTTTCATTAACTTTATTGAATATCAAGAATTACACAGTATATTAAAAATTGTAGACAAATATTGAAATGTGAAAGATATAAGATGCAGACAGAATGAATTTTAAAGAAATATTTCTGAAATGAATACATAGCATGAGATTAATAATAGATTATATATTGTAAATAAATTATTTCCAAACTTAAATGAATACAATAATAAAAACTGTCCAAAATAAAAAGGAAGAAATAATTTACAGATCAGTTATAAAATAGTTCATGCTGTATCAAAATCAAGAAACTTATATTCATATCATTAGAATTCTCAAAGTAGAAAGGGGTAGGCAATATTTAAAGATTTAAAATTTCTGAATTTAGTTGAACTTATAACACCACATTTCCAAGAAAAATGAACCTTTTGCACAAGAGATTTGAATAAAATCATACCAAGATACACAAAAATGAAATTGTCGAAAACTTATTGTAAAGAAAAAAATCATTAAATCATATACATAAAAATATTAGCCATGGAAGAACAAAATTAAGTAGCATCTTATTCCACATTAGAAAAAAAAAGACCAAGTGTGTAAGACCAAGTGTTTTATTTTTATTCTTAGTAATTTTTAGCATCATGAAAACTTTTTTTAGTTCAACTGTTCTGAAACATTTAATTTTTAATTAATATTTAATTTTGTGAATACTGCTTAATCTTAATTTTTAAGATTTATACTGTATGTTTGACTTACAATCTACTTAAAAGACATGCACAGTATGATATTTTATCATAGTATTAGAAACTTTAAAAAACTTATTTGCATTTTCTATTGACTTCATATTACTTGCTTGTCTTTTACACACACACACACACACACACACACGAAAAAAATGTGTATAACCCGACAAAAGATCAATACTGTTTCGTAGAAACCTTCAATGACCTTTTAAATGGGTTCATCTAATATATTTTACGTAGTCCTGCATAACTCTCATTTTGAGAGCTCTTTATTCTTTATCCAGGACCATACAGCAACTTCTCTTGCCTTCTGAATTATGCTCTTTGTTATTTCCTATATGCTATATTTGGAGGTATTAGAATATTTTGAAGTTGTATAACTGGAAAATATTTTACTTTTAGTTTTCAAAGGTATGTTTGCTAAGTATAAAATTCAAAGAGGATAGATTTTTTTTTCAGTCCTTTAAATTAATTACACACTTGGTCTTCCAATAGAATTTTTGCAATTTGCTATTTCAAACTCTTCAATAGGTCCCCTGTCCTCACGGTAAAGTATGAAGTCCTCACCTTGGTTCATGAGACACAGTGCAACTCGGCCCGTTCAGTCTCAGCTTGCACCACTCCTTCCCCTTCCACCCCACGGCCCGACTGTGTGCCAGCCAGCTGCCCTGGTATCTGTGGGGCTTTTTCTGACCTCCAGCTCATTCCACACACCGTCCTCTCCACAACCAGCACCTATGCCTTGCTTCGTCCTGGAGTCTTTCTTGATTTTCCAGGTTTGTGTTAGGTGGCCCTCGTGCCGTGCTCTCACGGCATGGAGCCCTTGGCCTCTCGCTACAGCAGCACGTGCTCCTGTACTCAGCACTCGGATCCCAGGGGGCTTAGCGTGCGCAGGGCAGGGGAGGGGCAAACCAATGTGCGCACAGTTATAATCCACGACTAAAGGTTACGTCATCCGACCCCCCAACCTGGCTTGGCCCACACAGAGATGCACATCAAATCCTCACGACATACTTGTCTCCCAGGTCCTCAGCTCTGCTTTGATTTCCTTGTATTGTTTAGGTTCTAATTGGCTTTTAGTTGAAGTTTATTTTTTGTTTTTAGAGCTGAGGACTGAACTCAGGGCTTCCAGCTTGCTGGCAAGTGTCATACTGCTGCTCTGGTTTGCATGGAAACTTTGCAGGTCAAACAGCAAACTTACTAAAGTTCTACAGAGGAGCAAAAAGTAAAAAATACAGAGTCGTTTTGTTAAATAAAAAAGGCATGTGTATGCAATGAAAAGTATGGAAATACATTCAACACCAGCTCTTCATGACAGCATTGCCGGTACATTTTATTTTATTTGTATGTTTCTTTATTCTCAGAAATTTGCTATTGCTAGAAATTTCCCTACAGACTCAAAGACAAACAAGTGTAAACTGAAAAATACAACCAGGTCACCAACTCAGCAGAATCCTCTCCTAATTTAGTTACAACAGTAAGTCTAACTACTGGCACAATGCAGTAACGTGACAAAGCTCTGGGGCTCCAATGGAGGTCAGCAGGGCCCCTGATCAACTTCCAACCTTTTCATTCTCATTGAAGTCTGGGTCAATGTCAAGCAAATTTTCAAATCCTCCAACAACAACAGCAAGGAATAAACAAATAAAATGCTCCAACAATTTTACCTTCAGAAACCATCCCACATAAAACACTTTTATATCTGAGTAGATTTATATGTAAAAGGATATTAAAAATACATAATCACCATAAGTATTGTTTGTAATAGCGAAAAAGGGCAACAATCTAAATATCTGTCTGTGGAAGACCAAATAAGAAAATTTTTACTTAGCTATAGCTGGAATAGTATATGAGCATGAAAAAGAAGCTAACAGATTTAATGTACTTCTGTGATGTATAAGTAACTGAAAAAATACAGGAGTGGAACAGCACACATAGGGCCATCCCACAGTGTGCAACACAAAGCCATGCATACAAGCTTGAATGGGTAAAATATATTAGGAGGCATCCACCAGAAGACTGCCTCTGGGGAACGCAAGAGGAAAGCAATTTATTTTTCATTTTGTATATTCCATACATTTTCAAGGATTTAACTATTACAATATTAGTTTCATAAGTTAAACAAAGTAGTGAACAAGAATGATATAAAAATGCAGTTTGATGACTGTCATGGGGTAAAACTTTACTGTCTCCTGAAGATGCTAGAGGCCCAACCTCTGCACCTATAAATGTGACCTTGTTGGGAAATGGGATCTTCTTTGGAAGTAAGGTGGGCCCTGATCCAACGTCACTGACATCCTCATGAAAGAGCGAAATCTGGACACAGACAGGCACGCACACAGGGAGGCTGCCACAAGGAAGGAAGGTGGAGACTGGGAAGATGTGTCCATAAGTCATGGAATGCCCCAGGTTGCCTGCAAAGCCCCCAAAGCTAAGAGAGGCCTGGAGGGGACTAATCCTGCGTGTACCTTGACCTTAGCCTTCTACAACAGGGACTGTCACGGGACAGTACACGGCACCAGTTTCTGAGACTGTTATAGCAGTGCCAGGACTCTCACACAGCGGGGTGGCATGTTTTGCTATGTTCTATACGACATGTGGTCGGCTTTTGGAGACAGCAAGTAGCTCTCCGGAGCCCAAGAGCCAAGCATCATTGCCTGAAGGAGTAGAGCTGGCTGAACCCTGCGCAGGGCCATGAGAGCTATCAGGGCACAGCGGACACGGGCGCTGCTGGAGAGGACCACCTGGACAGCGTGGGGCATGTATTCTCCCCACCCCTCAGCGTGCTCAGTCAGAACTGTGCACTGGCTCAAAACAGCTCCCAGCCCTGGCTAGGGGCCACTCCCACGCTGCCTACCCTGCCCCAACCACCCTGAGGGACCTGTTCTCACGTGGCACAGAGGGGGCGACAGCTCACTGGAGGGTGCAGGCCCTCCTCAAGGTTCTGAGCAGTGCACCTGAGTGGTTAAAACTACGAGGCCTCTTGATGCCACAGATTATCTCCGAAGGGTTGGTTTCAGGTCAAAGGCTTAAAAACTGAAAATATTTACAGTTTAGAATAGTGGTTAGTTCACAAACTTTTCACTTTTTTCTTAAAGTATTTACTGCATTACCAATCATACATTGGTTGCTAAGGAAAAAATACAGACGAAACAGCAATCCACACCTCCTAGCAATAGAGAAGACAGGCAGATAAACTTGGCCTAGCATCTAACAGTTAGTAGGTATGAATAAAATCCCTACGGCAAGGGCACCACCAGAATTTGTTTTAGGGCACTGGCTGTGAGCCCAGTGGTACAGCGCGTGCCTGGCATGTGTGAGGTCTTGCGTTGCATTTGCAGCGCTGCAAGAAAGCAGAACAAATAAAACCCCAACCACCCTCATGTATAGCTGAAAGCATATACATTTAGTGCTGAACTCAGCCACATACCACAAACTGAAACCCAGCATGGAAAAAGACTTCCTCAAATTACACACAGGAAGGTGAGGTACTGGTCTACACCTGTTACCAAGTGATGTTTCAAAGGCAGTGAGCTGTATTTACTGATTCCACTGTAGTTTCTGGTTAAGCAACATGGGTTTAAATTTCCTGTCTGGGATTTTACACCTCAAAGGCCAAAACTCAAACCAAAGTAAAACAAAACCTGAAAGCCCCCTGTAGAGCAGCTAAGTAGAACCTGTGGAAGAACTGCTGTAGTGAATAAAAGCCACTTACTTCGTAGGCCTGGGGGCTGGTCAGGCACCTGGCGATGGGCCCACAGCAGGCTGGGAGCGTGGTAGTGAGGGGAGGCCCGCTGTGCGTCAGTAGAGGCTTCAGGTAGCTGTGGGAAGGTTAAGGAAGAGCCGTACGCAACCCTGCTGCTTTCTTCACACATCTGATGGAACAACCAGCTCCTCGACAAAGGCCTTCACACCCACACACACACCTCATCTCCATGTGATCATAGTGAGCAGCAAAGGGAGACTTTGTCATCACTTCCCTTTCACAGTTAGGGACACCGAGGTGCAGAAAGGTCACAGATCTGCCTCAATCACACAACTAAGGAAATGAAGAGTGATCCACCAACCCAGATTGCTTTGCTTTCAAATCCTGTGCCTATTCCAGTACAGCATATGGCTTTTCCAATTTTACTAAAAGCAAAAGAAATGCCAGGTCGTTTTCAACTTGGCACTGAAGGCAATAAGGGCAGAGGTAAAGAATGAGGATGGTCACCATCCGAGAGGAGATTAAACACTCCAGTAGTAGAATCGAGTAATATAAGTTTTCAATCACTTCCTAAGCTGGCCTCCTGAAACTTCATTATCAGGTTGATTTGTTTCCTATGAAGCTATGATATGGAGGAAAAGGAAGTCCATTCCCAACATATTTAAATAAACTGTATCAGGAGGTCCTCTCCTACACACTCATTTTAATATTTGCTTATTTTTCAATAAAAAATACATGTGATCATACATAATACTCAGAAGAAGAGGGAATCACAGGAAAAAGGACAGAGAGGAGAGAGCCACACATACGTCATTCCCCACATTCTAAACCAAGCACCTGAGCTGTGGTTCAGCGGTAGAATACTTGTTAGTGTGCACCATGCCTAGAGTTCATCCCTAGCACCACAGAAAGGGAGGGGGAGAGAGGAACGAGAGGAAAGGGGGAGGTGGAGGGGGCAAGGGAAAGGGAGAGGGAGAGGCTGAGAGAGAAGGAGATGGAACCTAAGGTTGCCTTCAATTAAAAGCAAGAAAACATTCAAGGTACTATAGTCTCATATTAATAAAATTCTAAGCAAGACTTGGACCACTCTATATAAATAAACTTTATATATTATCTGGCCGCTGAAAACCCAGAATGAATTCTACTAGTATACTGAGTTCAGAAATGACTGCATCTCTGCCTACTATGGATAGGGTAGTACTGAGGCTAGTACATCTTGGTCTTTGACAAGAAGAAATTCCTTAAAAAGTCGTATCAAATAATTTGACAAAAGAATTGAAAAGCAAATCTAAATAGTCCTACATCTATTAAAGAAACTGAAAACCTTCCTATATAAAAAGCACAAGGAGGGGCCAGGGAGATGGCTCAGTAGAATAAGCACTTCCCTGGCAAACACAAGGGTCTGAGCTCAATCCCCGGTTCCACAAAAAAAAAAAAAAAAGCACAAGGTCAGATTGCTTCATTAGTAAAATCCTCCCAGCTCGTTAGGAAGGAAGGAATAACACAATACTCTTTCAGAAAACAGCAAAAGGAGTACTTCCCAACTCATTTCATAAGGTCAGAATAATCTTGTTATACAAACTTACCAAGAATATTATAGTAAAATTCACAATCCAACACCTCTGATAAAAGACACAAAAAAATCAGGTGTAAAATATTAGCAACTTAAATCTAGCAATACACAAAAGGATAACACATCATAACTAAATGGAATTTGTTCCGGCAAAGCAGGAATGGTTTAATACACAATCAGTATAAATCCGCACACTACCAGAATGAAGGAAAAAAAAAAGTAATCATCTCAGATGATATAAAAATATTCTGGTAATACTAAGTATCTGTTCATGACAAAATCTCTCAGAAAATTAGAAATAAAGAGGAATATTCTTAACTTATTAAAAGACATTCCCAAGCCCCATAGTTAGCATAATATATGTATTGGTTTAATGCTGAAAAAAATTTCCCAAGGTCAGAAATAAAACAAGGATGTCATTATTATCAATTATATTGCACTGGAGAGGTTCAGCCACTATAACAAGACACAAAAAAGACTTGGAGTTTTATAGGATATTGGAAAAGAAAAAAGCATTAGTCATAGGTCTCTTGACTGTATATACAGAAAGTTAAAAGAATCTGCAAACAATTAGAAAATCTTAAGTGAACTTAGTAAGACTGCTGGACAAAAGATCAAGGCATTTTTTCCAAAACACACCATATCTTAGACCATAAAGCATGCTTAAGTAAATACAAGAAAACTAAAATGGCCCACCGTATGTATACTATGGGATCACTGCATACTACTGGACTGACTCATTCTAGCAGGGCCCTCGCTATTATCATGACCAGGGCCTAGTTGAGCAGGACTTCACAGGGCAGGACTGCAACCAATAAGTCTTGATTCTTACTTGTATAAGAATGTACAGAAAATAAGCTGCTACTCTACATTAGCTCTTTCTCTACATTAAGATCACTTAATGGTTTTTATATTACATAGATAATGTATAAAAATTTTAGGCAGAAAATACCAAGAAATTGTGTGAAGTTGGAGGGATGGAAAAGTCCCAAGAGATATGGAAATGGCTTATGTCCAAAATGCTGAAAACGGAGCCAAAAGCAGTGACATAATCCTTAAAAAATTTTAAAGGGCCAGGATCTCTTTCCCTAATGGGAGTCTCAATACCAGATATACATGCATTCTTGTTTCCATGTACCAATTTAATTTTGAAGTACTTGCAAAAAGTAAGTGCAAAAATCTAGTAAACAGACTATTATAAGTAGTTACTTGCAATCATAAGTGTCAAGTGCACTTTTCTCAAATATAAAAGGCTTTGATCAGAAAGTTGAAACTAAGGAAAAATGTGTTTACATAGTTAGACTCAAATTTGCTTAAATGGAACCTAAACCACAATTCAAGTCATTTATTGAAAAATCTTAACCTAAAAGAACTCCATGGCTCCTTTTTGTAGTTCAATTTCAAACAGTAAATTAATTTCAATAGAGGCAAAACATTTGAAAGAGCATGATTTAAACAGGTTATCAATAATCAACACTATTCCAAGTTTAACTATGAAGATGGCATACAACAGGACAAGAAGGAAATTAGTCATAAATAAAAATATTAACTCTTCGTAGCATTCTGAATAGAGAGTAAGTGGGCCCTCCTGCTCTTAGGAAAGGTGAGGGAAGAGGCATATCCCTGATACTGTAGTTTCTAACAGTACTACAGTCTTAGAATGCTTTTCCCTAGGGCAGCCTTTCCTCTTTCATCCCAGTAAGTACAGCATCAAGAATCAAACCCTCGAGAGAGTATAGCAGTAATTGATATGACATTAGAAGCAGTACAAATCCTGAGGGGATTTGACTGACCTTGTCAAATACAAAAGTTACATTTTTCGTTATATGGGTCTTGCTTTATCTTGGTCTTAACCATCCAGCAGAAAAGTATAAAAACGAGGTATAAAAAGTAAAGCCATATTAATATGCTGAGGTGTAAAAGGCTCAAGTCAACAACTTCTGACATTGTCAGTTCTACAGATAACCCACTACTATTATGGGCTACTGGATTATATTGGATTATTTTGCTGAATTCACACACTTACAATATTTGAATGGCAATGGCATACCCATCTCTGACAAAACTAAACAAAAAAGGTGAATATAAGTGAAGGACAATTTTGTAGTAAAATATATATATCTGTATCTACAAAATAGCATAGATACTCAGCTATTTCTCTTAGTTCAATGAGAAGAAAGTTTTGAACCGACAGTGTTTAGATGAGATATCATGTCTGCATCTTGTATTATGAATAACTACAAGGACAACAATATGCAATGTATTAATTATTGTAACTGTCCCACTAACCTGTTTTGAAACTCTCATTGATACTTCTCAATAAAATTAATATAAAAAAGAATCAAACCCTCTTTATAGGATCCACTAAATTACCCAAATATAAGTTTTCTCAGTGATTAAACATATCAAAGTGTGTCACTTGAGCTCCTGATTCCTTCCACAAAGCCAGCTTCTAAAATAACTGGTCCCTACTATTTTCTTGTGTTTCATTTGTGTGTTTCAATTCATTTGTGTGAATTTCCTCTTCCACTACACTGATGGAAGAAGAGAAGACTAAAAGCACACTCTATATTCCTCTTCCAGGCACAAAAGCAGGTCTTGATCCCCAGCATGAAAACCAAAACCAAAACAAAGAACCCTAAACAGTTGTTGTACGAAATTGCAACTACCCACGTCCATACTATCATTTTTTCTCTCAGTTAAGGATACTTGTGATCAAAGTTGTACCATATTCGGAAGAGCCAAGCACTCTCTGCTTTAGTAGTTCTCCTTTCATTTTCAGGAACACCCTGCAGGCATAGAATACACAAATCAATACACATACAAAGACGAACATGTTTCTCGGAGTCATTCCTTGTAGAATCAGAAACAGACTCTATGTAAAGATACTCTCCAACAACGGTAACGTTAGAAATTTAACAGCTTGTATACTGTAGCTCTGGAGTAAGACATTAGGGTTTTTACGCACATCTCTGTTACTCAGATGGCTTACTACTTGCTACTGTCATTCAAAAAGTCACCTCCAAAATCCCAAAGATGTATGCCTTCCACACAAAGGCACCTTACACAGAAAACATCACACTGGAATCCCTGTTTGGGAGCTCTGGGTCTCCAGGCATTTTCAAAGCAGCTATCATGTTCTTAACACACCAGTGAAATAAAAACAAGAAGGAAAATTCTGTGGTAAGCCTGACTGGTTTGGAAGGTAAATTAACAGAGCAAGCAGGCATCTTCTAAACTAGCTTCTGAAAGTATAAACTGTGCCCTTATTTGTAGGGTCAGAAGTAGGGAAGTTAGACTATCTGGTTCCAGTCCTGGCACGTTGATATTAACTAGTTCGGGTAAATCCTTTCATTTCTGGGTCTGAATTTCTCTTTGTATAGAACATGAGCAGCAGAGATGCTCCAACACCCTTTTCAGCAGTAATACTCCATGGCACTATGATTTTCTAGGAGCAGAGTTTAGATTGTGGGTTTTAGCTTCTTTGCAGCCTCCATAATCCTCAATATGTATCAAAATATCCACAAAATACTGTATAAAAATGTTCAAGGACAATGTATGGGCTCACAGGCACCAACGGACGATTTGGCCTTTCCTCTCGCATCATCAGGTTGCATGCCTCCACTTACTTTCTCATTGGTGCTGGGGACAGAACCCTCATGCATGCTAAGCACATGTTCTGCCTCCAAGCTACTCCTGCAGTCTGTTGTCTTTGTCTTGTTTTTACGGTACTGGGGATTGAATCCAGGGCCTCCACACTGAGAATTCACATCCCCAGACCTTTTGAAAATTGGAGAGAGATTTTTAATTTATAAATTTAGTTGTTTCTTTCTTTCTTTTTTTTTTTTTCAGTATCGAGGCTTGAACTCAGGAACATGCACTTGCCAGGTTGGCTCTTGTCCCACTCAGCTATATCCCGGGCCCTGCCTTTAGTTCTTGAAGAGTAGTTTAGCTATCCATCTCATCATTCCTTCACTACATGAATGCTTTGTACAGATCCAACCTTCACACACTCCATACTTACTATAATGTTTCTCTATAGTGCTCAAAATTATTGAGTAAACAATATAACCAAGACATACAGAGTTTTGAAGGCAAGTGGAAATTTTTTTTTATGCATCACAACTGGCATTAGTCTACCTGGCTCTCTCTCTATCACTCTATTTCTCCTCTGTGGTAACAAGGGAGATACAGCAAGCAGAGACTTAAGCAGAGAGTGTGATTAAACATTTGTTACAGGAGCTGTACAATAACTTTATTCTTATTTTGATACAAGTTGGAGGCACTAAGGAACAGTTACCCCATGGCCACCACTCTAGCAGCTTGTATGATGGGAACCTACCCTGCCTGGTTTGTCCAAAGTATTTCAAGGCCAAGGAATTCTACTTTAAAGTTATGACCACAAAAGAGGCAAACACTTGGTATCTTACATACACACATACGCTCATTACTCAACAGCTAACAAAATTAGCATTTAGGAAATGAATGTGATAAAAAGAAAAAAAATTGTTAAGCACACCCTGAAGAAAAATAGACAGGGTTTGTTTTAGACAAGAACAGGAATTGTGTTTTGAAGAGAAGCTTTCCGCCTTCAAAAACCTAATTTCTGTGATTTTTGATCCAATGCATAGCACAATGTCACATATTCAGTGCTGAGAAACCACTAAAAAGTAGACGGAAAATACCAGAAAAGGGTGGAGAGGGCTGCCAATTACACTGTGCTCGGTTCAATGGGCTAGAGTTCATAGAAACAACTGACAAACTGACACACAGAAGGAAGGAAGCAAGGAAATGTGGCCAAGGCTGAGGCATGGTAAGAAAGTACACTCCCCTGAACAGGCAGGGAGGGCTGGGGAAAGACTTAAATGTGTCTCAGCAGCTCTCAAGGGCAGCTGCTGGTCATCCCACTTGAAAGTTACACAGGAAGAGCAGCTGGAGTGGGGCTGACATCAGAGGCAGGCCTTCATGCGCAAACCAGAGTGGAAAAAGGCTTCCTGTGCCAGAGCAGTCACTTGAAAACCCAAGAGTGCTAGAGACTTCTCTGTGGCAAAAGCCCAGGATGGTCCACAGATAAGAAAACTGTCACCCTTGATAACCACACTGCCTAGAATGTGGTTTTGTCTCTATAGGGCAGAAAAGAAAGCCAGGAGTGAAGTCAGTTAAAAGCAGAGGCAAAATGATCTAAATAGTGGCATGAAGTGAACAGGAGTTGTTTTCTTTCTAAACAACTACACATTCAATAGACATCCCAGCGACAATACAAATGCATATTTACCAAATGTTCTTGGTCTGAATCAACACCAACCCTACAGGAAAAAACACAAAGAGCAAATGAGATTGTGAAGCCAAGAAAAGTCTAGTCACATATGTACACTGTCAGGCAGCAACTACCCCAACACAGACGCTATGGAATGGTTAATGTTTTCTTGCTTCTTTACGGTTGTTGATATGAAGGTTTTTTGGCTCCTACCACTTTCCTTAGAAATAGCTTGGATTCTAAGGCAAGTAGGGCGAATGAGCCTCTTCTTGCAATCCCACTTACCAGTTTCAGTAAACAGCATTTCTTCTGTGAAAAGAAGTCCACTCTTAAGCAGAGTCAGGGAGAACAACAATACCCCAGTTGCTGAGTAAGAGTCACTGGAAAGTTCCAAAAACCAGGCTGGCACACAATGCAATTCCAGGAGGGAGTTGCATGTTTTTGACCCTTGTAGCTCTCACAGCAGCACTCTATTATGATGATGGAAGAAACGGTCCAATTACACAATTACAGTTTCTTCTTAGGCTAATGGGTAGCCTTGGATCTTCAGTTCTTTTTACATGCATCACATTCCTGCCTTGAGGAACTTGGGCAACAGCTTCAGTAAGAAGTTCTGGGATTGTGTTCTAACAGGAGCCCCACCACTTCTGGTTTCTTTAGTGTTTCTCCCCCTGCCCTCCCAGCCACTATGGTGCAGGTCCTCATCCTGACTCACGGGGTCTGTTGTGTAAGGTTTCCCAGCTGCCAGCTTCCCCCCTGAGTTTGCTGGCTAAAGCACAGAGCTCACCGGGTCAAGATGGGGTCAAATGTGAGGCTCTTTATGTGGCATCCAAGACTCTGTGATCCGGTGGCCACCCCTCTCCCAAACCTCCTTCTCTTGGCTCTTTCCCCATCATCCTCTTCTACATGCCCATCTACGACTCTCCTGAATCCCGGGCCTCTCAGAGCCCCAGGGCTTGGCTCATGCTGCTCCCTCTAGCCGAAATGTGCTTTCCTTCACTTCCCTACTCCCTATTAATTTGTTAAGTTCCACAGGAACTGTTCTATGATCCCTTCACAAGCAGCAGTATATTTTCCTCTGTGTATTGCCACCTTTTCAAACCCTTTATTATAATGCTTAGCATGATAAGAGTACAGCTATTTACCTGTCAGGCTCACCAAAAAGAATGTGAGCTCCTTGAAGGTAAAGGCCGTGTCTCGGTTCACCCTTGTATCCCCAGAGGCTGGCACAGTACCTAATACACCATCGGTGCTCAAATATTTATCTACTGACTTAACTGCTACAGACAATGCAGACGACACAACAGTATGAGAACCTGGAGCAGACAATGAACACTCAAGGGAGGAAAATAATGCAAGGCCACATCTAGAAGGCAAGGGAGTCACAGTCAAGTGCTTGAAAGCAGATGTCTAAGACTGGATTTGGCATTCAAAGAAAAGTATCTTCTTATTTTGTTAAAAATGGCCAGATACTGTTTAATGTCTTCTCAGTTACATTAGACACTAACCACATTTGTGCATCTCAAGTGACACCTAGTGGTCTTCTACATCGTGCATTTGTAACACTCATGCTAAAATCCCTGAAGCCAACATGATAAGCATATACAGAACTCTTATTATTTGCCAGGCACTATACTAGGCACAGGGCACAGACAGGATTTAACTCAGCCCCTACCTTTAAGGACCTTACAGGCACAACTGCAGCAGAGCTCCTAAGGGTGTGTGTGCTGCCAGGGAATGCTGTGTTAAAATCTGTGGGGACTCAATTGTTCTGTAGTCCTAGGGACTACGACTCTAGGGACTACGACTCGATCTATCGCCTGGAAAATGGGGCTAGTGTGCACTGCACAGTCACCGCGAGGATTAAATGAGAAAACATATCGAAAGCTGTGTACAAGGCCAGCTGGATCATCGACACTCAGCAGAGCTATTAACCAATACTGCAGTACTACAAGGCGGGAGGAAGTCAGGGCCTTAAGAGACTCAGTGTTACAGAAACAGAGTGGTTCCAAGACAAAGCAGCGGGAGAAAGAAGGTACTGGGCTGTGTCACTTGCTAGCAGGTAAAGTGAATTCCAGGCACAGGGAGCAACATGAGCTTTAGTGGCTCAGGGACACAGACATGCAAAGCATGTGTGGTAACTGAAAGATAGCCGAATGTGACTGCTACAAATGATATGCAACGACACAGGCATGGCGGGCTGACTCTAATTCAGGAGGACCCTCATTCATGTGACAGCCAACGTGATCCTCTTTCACTATAAATGAGATCATGATACTCCTTTGCTTAAATAGCCTCCAGGATTTCTAATAGCATCTTAAAATGCAAATCTCTCACCATATCCTGCAGACCTCAGAGCAGGAGTTCACTAACTACAGCCCAGGCACCATACTGCCACCCTTCCTGTTTTTGTAAATAAAATTTCCTTGGAACCTAACCGCACAAGTAGATTTGCATATTGTCCAGGTGAATAACCAAGACAGAATCCACATGACTTCCAGAGCCTAAAATCATTCTCTTGCCCTAACTGCAAAAGCTTGCAGACTGCTGTACCATACGATCAATGTGTGAGCTTTCTGGTTGTTTGCCAGACAGGGCAAGCTTGCTCCTGCCTCAGGGCCTTTGCACTTGCTTTTCCCTCTGCCTGGACTGCTCTTCTAGGTCTGTTTAGCAGTATCTTGTCACTCAGGTAGCTGAGGTCAAAAGTGATCTCTCAGAAGTCTTCCTTGGGCTCTTATAACTACAGGCCCATCCCATCACTCTAAAGAACACTGGGTGAACTCATATTTAATATCATCTATAGTTGTGCTCATTTATTTACTAGTTCACTGTCTCTTTTCCCACTAAAGTACAGACTTTATGTACCAGGGACCTTTTCTATCTTCTTACTGCCGCTGTCTCTGTCTAAGGGGCAGGGCTTCTTATTCTTCGCATGACTTATCATTTTGGCCCAGATAACCATTCGTTGGCAGAAGGACTCTCTGTCCTACACACTATAGTCTGTTTAACAGCATCCTTGGCCTGTACCTACTAGTCACCACCAGCAGCTCTCTCCTAGCTGGGATAGTCAAACGGGCCTCCAAACATTGCTAAATGTCCCCTAGGAGGAATACTGACCTCCGTGGAGAACTGGGTCAGTGCTCACTGAGTGAAGGCATGAAGGGCCCACAGCCTGCACAGGCACCTGCTGTGTGCAGACATCTGCTCAGCGAATCCTCACCACAACCCTAGGACACAGGCACTGGGACATGGGCTACAGGTAAGAAAACTGAGGTTGAGCAAGATTAAAGAACTCACCCAAGATCACAGACTTCATCAGAAGTAAGGACCAAGCTTCACACCTAAGTTTATGTGTGCACGACTCTTCACTGTTTGGGGATCAAAATTCTACTAGACAAACTTAGGGGAGGAAAGCTTAAAATATAGCAAGACTGAAAAGTCAAGAAAATAAGAACACAAGAAGTACCGTGAAACTGCATAGAATTAAGTGCCAATCTATGTTACTGAACAAGGTAGGTGAGGCCAACCAAAGGGGGGGGTCTTCTGATGTAAACACAGGTATTTTGTTCAGTTTTTGTGAAGGACAATGAGGAAAGAGAACTGATTCTCCTTAAATGTAGAGTCTCATTAAAGAGTATTGCTCTTTCTAAATTATTTGCCCTTAACGTTGCCCTCCCTAGGAAGTCTTCATTTATAAGCTAATGAGAAAAGAAAGGAGTTCTATCTTCTAAACTCCCCACCATCATTTCTTGATGCATTGTGCTGTGGAAGAAAGACAGAGATGACTCCATCTACCACTTAATTATCTTTAGGATTTTAAACAACTGCAAACCTTTCTATGCCTCAGTTTCTTCATCTGTAATATAGGATTATTACACAAATAGGTTAAAGGCACTTGGCACAATGTTCAGCACATAGCAGGTGCTCAATAAGTCAGATCTTCAAGTAATGTTTAAGGATATAAGAACATACTACAGTTTATTGTCTGTGACAGCAAAACATGATAAGAAAAGGGTTTTAATAGTAAAAAGATTGTGATGGTAACAAAAATATTCGATGTACTATTTGGGGTTAGTCTTTATAATGTTAAAAGAAAGACATATAGAATGAAAAACAGGGAGGGCAGAGGCTTTAAATGTCTATGAAGTTTCAACCAAACACAAAACTGAAATCCAGAACGCCTTCAGCAACACAGGCTGCTGTATCCATGGAAACAAAGCCACAACTCTTGAGATACAAGGGAGCTTTCAAATTGAATGCATGAACCAGTACACATTGAAGACTAAGATCTTATGATCTTGGCCTAAGTTGTTGTGTTAGAAAACAGTGCTGATTTACAAAGATGAAAAAGCATGATAATATCTAGTATTGATCAGAATAGAAGAAAAGTGGAGTGTTTCACACACTGCAGATAGATCCAACCTGGTGACATGAGCAAAAGCCTTAAATACATGCATATGCTCTTGATTAAGTACTTCCACTTCTAGGACTGCATCCTAAGGAACTAATTAAACAAGTGCACAATGGTGTATACATTTAAGAATGTGCACATTGTTAACAGTAATGCTAACAGCAAAACCTCAACTAATAACAGGAAAATATTATCATAAATATTTTGGTTTTATATCACCTAAATAGAAAAGTCTGGGCCGGCAAGATACCTCAGTGGACTAAGCACCTGCTTAGGCAAGTGCAGGGACAAGGGTTTGATCCCTGGCACCACACGCTGTGCCGGCCCCATCCCCAGGCATGCTGAACCAGCTGCTGAGATTGGGCGTGGTGGCATGTGCCTGTAATCCCAGCACTTGGGAAGCTGAAAACAGAATAATCACTAGGAGTCTGATCTACATAGTGAGACCCTATAGACCCTGTACTAAATACATAAAAAATAAAATAAATCAGGATATACGCAGCCATATAAATCATAATGTAAATATATACTGTCCATGCTACATTACTTTTTAAAAACAACCTCTAAGAGTACCTTCAGTGCTATCCCTTTTTGTTAAAAATACATATAAAGCAATGTAGGGCATCTGGAAAGACATTCTTCAATGGGTTGATGATTTTTTTATGATACTGGGCAATAAACCCTTGGCCTCACGTATGCTAAGCAAGGGTTCTGCCACTGAGTTAAATCTCCAGCCCTTTTTATTTTTTAAGACAAGGTCTCGTTTAGTTGTCAAGGCTGGATACAAACTTGGGATGCTCCTGTTCAGATTCCTGATTCGCTGGGATTATAGGGATATTTTGCATAGATTCATCATTTCCTACACAACACTGTATAATTTTTAAAAGGAAAAACTGAGATATCACATATTTTCAAAAACTGACCATCTCTTCATGACTAAATGAAAAACAACCATAACAAACACTTAACATTAAAACAGGATTCCCAGTTCCTACTTACCTTATATGCAAGCATGACAGCATGGCAGTGGTACCCCCACCAAACACCCACACGGTAAAAAACACAATCAGAAGTGTGGTGCTGAACATCATTTGTCGTGCATAAGTGGCAGTATCTCTAATGGCCAATGCAAATGCCATTGCACCACGAAGACCTACAAGAGAATCGAGGAGGTATTTCTTCAAGAACTCATCAATTCACAGAAAAAAAGCACATCCTACAAACTCAGGAGGTGAACAAATATGAGCTACCTTTAGGATACCTAAACATATATGAATAGTAGCAGAATTGTACATATGATACTGACATTAATTGATCTTTTAAAAATTCTTTAAAATGCATTTGCTAATTTATGCCACAGAATTTTCTTACTGATGTATAGTGCCATGAGTTATTACAATGCCATGGTCCCAAGAGAACAGCTTCGTTCTGCTCCCAGAACCCTGTGTGCTACCTCTTTTTATTGTTTTATTTTGGGATTTTGGCCAGCTCAGCCCAACCTGAGGGTGGGACTGGCGCAGCATGTGGCGCCTGGGATCGAACCTGGGTCCCCTGCACCTGCCTAAGCTTGCCTAAGCAGGTGCTTTAGACTATTGAACTATCTCACTGGCCTCATGCTACCCCTTCTTAGTCCAACCTATTCCACAGCTGGTCAAACCCTTGATTCCTTTTTCATCATTGCTTACTGTCTCTTGGAGAATATTATATAAGTGGAATCACTTATAATAGTTGCATATAATAGTATATAATAGTTGAGGTTGGCTTCTTGCACTCAGCGTATCATCTCTGTGTGGACAGGTCGCTCTTTTTAGTACTGGGTATTATGGCATGGCACAGTTGTTCCAGTTTGTTTCTCCAAAGACAGACAAGTGGACTGTTTCTAGGCTTTTGGCAATGACAAGTGAAAGTGTAACAGACACTCACTTTAAGACGTTTGTGTAAAACTACACTCATTTTTATCTTCTTTTGTGTAATATTTCTTTTTTTGAGATGGGGTCTCACATGTACTTCAAGTTGGTCTTGAGCGTATTATGTATCCTAGCCTGGCCTCAAACTCATGGCAATCTTCCTGCTTCAGCCTCCCAATGGTTGGGATTACATATATTTGTTTTTTAAAAAATTTTTTCATTTATTTATTTGGTATAGGGTCTTACTACGCAGTATAGACTTGGAATGATCCTCCTGTCTCAGTTTCCCCAGCACTGGGATTACAGGTGTGCGCCATCATGTCCAGTTTCAGACCAGGCGTGGTATGCCCAGGGTTCCAAGACAGGCATGGCATGCAGTACTGGGAATCGAACTTGGGTCCTTACGCTTACCAGGCAAGAGATCAGACTGCCAAGCTTTCTCCTTGGCCCCAACATGTGATATACTTCTAAGCTGAGGTTCTGGAACCAGAACATGAAAAAATTCCCAAAAAAGCAATGGGACTTTTTTTTTTGGCAGGACTGGGAATTGAACCTAAGGCCTTTATGCTGGCCCCAGCTCTTTTTCAATGGAGACAGCATGTCACTACGTCACTGAGTTGCTCAGGTTGGGCTCATACTTGTACTCTTCCTGCCTCAACCCCCCAGTGCTAGGAATTCAGGCCACAGTCACTATACCCAGCTGGGAATGGGACACCATAAGAAGAATTCTCTACTTGAGGATGCAATGTCAGTGTCTCAAGGACTCCTCTATTAGCAGCACAACATTTCCGCTTGAAATTCTATAAACAGGCATATGTGTTGTGAGGGATTCCTTGGAAGTTATAACTTACCAGCAAACATCATCATATGTTGAAAATTTGATCCAATCTTACTTCTTCTACCCAAATTAAGCAAGAGAGATAAGGGGTAAATATTGGCAGCTCTTCCCAAGAAAATAGCGATCTAAAATTAATAGGTTAAGGAACTGCGTTTGTTTTGTTCTGTTACTATCATTTAGACTAGACATTCAAAAAGGTAACAAGCCTATTCCAGGGAGCTCTTTGTAACAGACTCATGATTCCAGTTTCTAATAGTACTATCTAACAAAACTTCTGCAATGATAGCAATTTTCCGTATCTGCATGTTTCATACCACACAGTGATTACCTAAAATGTGGCTAGTGTGACTGAGGAACTAAAATTTTAATTTAATATCATTTTAGACTAATCAAATTTAAATAATTACAAGTGACTAGTTACCACCAAATTGGATGGTGAAGATCTAACATACAGGAGAGAGCTTTTATTTATTTATTTGCAGAACCAGGGATTGAACTCCGACCCTTGTGCTTGCCAGGGAAGTGCTTATTCTACTGAGCCATTTCCCCAGCCCTGAGGACAGAGGTTTAAAGGCAGGACTTACTATATTTTTTAGATTACAGTCATACCTCAGTACACATTGATAATTGATTCTAGAATGCATTCTGAAACCAATTAATAATGAATTTTCCCCATAAGAAATAATGTAATTAGAAATAATCTGTGATGAAAAGTTCCCAGAACTTATATACTAAACTGCGCTAATAGTGGCCTTTTACTGGGCTAATTTAAGCCTTTGGAGCACAGTGGTATCCCTCTCAACCATTTTGTGACTTCAATGCACAGAATACAAGACGTAAAAGAGGAATGTGTGGAGTTTCCGCACGGTTCACAAGCTAGTGTGAGTCTGACACAAGTGCTGAGCGCAATATGCACCAAGTCCAGTATGAGATCTAGCAAGCTCTAAAGGAGTGAGGGCTGAGGTATGACTATATTCATAGGCTCTTTGAACTTGTCCATGTGGATAAGAAGAAAGTAATGTTCGCTAAACTTTACTTTCTCTCCTCAGAGCAAAGAGGGCAGCTCAGTCACATCATGCTGCTGAAATGCCTGCAAGCCCGGAGCAGCCCCAGGAGTCTATACCTGGAGTCTGCTGCAGGACACAAGTTTAATGTGAGTTCATATGGCTCTAACTAGAAAGCAACCTTAGTGTCTTTTTCTTCATTTGCTATCTGTAGAAACCCCTGATTTATAATTACATTTTTTTAAATTCCAGGGATCACAGTACAGAGCTACCCCATTTCCTGAAATGAATCTAAAGGGAAGCCTAATATTACAAAAATGTGGTGGAAACAGTGCCAGTCTAAGTAACCTTGAGAGAGAGCACAGTCCATCAGTCTATAAATCTAAAGGCCAAAGGAACAGCACCCAAAGGATTAGATGCCTGTTGATAAAGTTGGTTCCCATGGGAATACTAGTTAACAGTTCTGATACTGTCATACAGTCATGTACCACATAATATTTTGGTCAGTGACAGACAGCAATATATCATGGTGGTCCCAAAAGACTTTAATAGTGCTGAAAAGTCTCTACTGTCTAGTGAACCTCTGACCATCATAGTGGCAAAGCACACTGCATTACTCCTGTGTTCCTGGTGGTACTGGAACTATGCTGCCAGTCATATGAAAGTATGGCCCATATCATTATATCTAACATATGATACTTGATAATGATAATAAATGGTAATGTTACTGCTTATATATTTACTATAGTATACTTACAAACATTAGAATGTATTCCTACTTATAAAGAAATTACCACAAAACACTTTGCTGTGTCTTACATATCTCATGTTTCCTGAGTCTTATCTGTAGCCAAAGGACTCATCAAGCAACTGACCTTTATCATACAGGTCTGTTTAAACAAAATCTATGATGTTCAAACAATGACAAAATTTCCTCATGATGCATTTCTCATAACATATCCCCACCCTTAAGTGGTGCAAGACTGTATGTGTACACTAGAACTGAACCATTAAATACATGGACATCATGTGGCAGGAGCCAGGTTCCTCACTGTTGGGGTGGGAGTTAACAGATTGGCAGGGGAAGGAGGCAGAACAACTCTTGCAGCAATGGAGAACAGTTAGAAATGTCAGCATGAGTTTTTGTTTAGCTTGAAGGAAATCCACATGGCTACACATTCAAGTATTTATCCAGGTGGAAGCATATTTGTGACCCCGGGGACACACGCATCTTTCCTCACTGCCAGCTGAGAGGGTCCAGAAGAATACTCAATAGCTTTGAGCACATCTGTTGCTCCAATCTCCATTTCCAACATTCTTCAACGAAAGGAACCAGGGCTGCTCAAGAAATGACCAAGTCTCAAGTTGAGGCAGAAAAATATACAAAATGAGCCTGAAGCATCTTGTAGTTCTATAAAGTAAGAGGTATTCCAAAATAAAGAAATCAACAAAAAATAAATAAATGAAGCAAAAGCAAAATCCACAATGGTATGACATGTTAAGATGACTCAGGGATCCACGGTAGCCAAAAGTGGAACAGTCTGAACAGCAAGTGTTAACAAGTTGTATTATAGCATAAAGTACAGAATAAGTATTAATGAATTCACAGTGATATAGATAAGTGAATAAAACAATAGATGATAAGAATAAGTCTCCTGTGCAAAGAATTTAGGGTAATTATGTATACTCTGATCTTGAAGAGGAGAAACCAAACTCCCATCTCTCCAAGTGGGCTGCACGAGGTGAATTCTGCCCAAGCAGAACCCTACAGAAAGAATAAAGGAGTAACTTCACAGTGGAAAACCTGACAAACACTACCTAAGCCAAGGGACTGAGCTCCTGCCACCACGAGCATATTAATAAATGCGCCTCCTTGCTCTGATGTGCTAGGAATAGCACTTTAACTTCTGGAGTGTTCCTCCCAAAGAGTAACACCAGTGTAGTCATGGGAAAGATATGAGACGCACTCCAACCTGAAAGCATCATGCAAAACACCTCATCGGTACGTCTCGCCTGTCAAGGGTCATCAGAAAGAAGGAACATATGAGAAACTGTCACAGTCAAGCAGAACCTAAAGCTACACGACAACCAAATGCACACAGCATCCTGGATGGGACTCTGGACCAGAAAAAGGACGAGAGGCAAGTCACAGCTACAGGGGTGACCCGCCTGCCTTGGGCACAAGAGAAAGGGCAGCTCCTTAAGGAGAGCAGCACCAGTGTTGCCTGGCTCATTGAGATGGGAACACAGCTGCCACTCCAGCCTGGGCTTTCCCCTCACAAACTTCTGTGCTGTGTAAACTTGAGTTCCTTTGAGTCTTCATCATAGGAAACCCAAAGGTATCCAGGAAGAATGAGGACGGCTCTCTATTTACCCTCATTTTCAGATTCAATCCAATTGTTAAAGCCATTTCTCTGCCCCAAAATTTCTCACATGTTTACAGAATATGGAGCTACTGCTCTCATGGGTGGCCTTTCTTTCAGTCAAGGTTCCCTTTTCTGCCCAAGCCTGCAGAACAGAACTTTGGTAACAACTCATTTTTGAACAGACATCTTCAGTAGAGTTTTGGTTTCAATGTTCACAATTCCTACTGATTTCTTGGGCAGAATCTCCGGAGGTTTTTTGTTTTTCAAACAAATGCATCTTTTGAAAATCGCTTATTCAAACATTCACCATCCAGGACCAAGCATGGAGCTCAGTGGCACAAGCGTTTGCCTGCCTGAGTTTGATGCTGTTCCATATTTCCTATCGTGGGCATCTTTCTCCCGCAGCAGATCTCCAGTCCTGAGATGGATAGGTATTTCACTCTACTCATGAACCCCTCCTTTCTTCATTTCCCTGCTGATCCACATGTTAGTAAGACCCTTTCCAATACCCTACATTTGCTTTGTCCAATCTTCACTGAATCCATTTGACAAAACCCAACTAAAACTGGATGGACCCAACTATTGCACACCCACACATTCACAGCGACAGTCTCCTGGCAAAAGTTCACAATAGGGTGGCTGATTGTACCACAAATATCTAGTCCTCAAACTCAAATGGCCCATTTGGCCAACTCACCCTTCCCCACCCTCTGTCACTATCTCATAAACCTTCTCTACCTTCCTCAAAAATCCCATTACCTGTGGAAGCTAGCCTCCAAGATAGCTCCCCATGATCCTGGATGCCTAATGTTATGGTCTGTGTCTAGATAGCCACCCAAAGCTTCATGCAGTCATAGGAACGGGCTTTTCAGACAGGACTGAATCTAGTTTGTGACTGACTCCTGGCCCAATGCTAGGATGAATTGTGTGAGTGCTACACCTGCCCTAGCAGGTAGCCTGCATTCAAAAAATGGGACAGAAAGGCCTGGCCCTTCCTTTCCTCCCTTGATTTTGCTGCTGTAAACTGTTCTTCCTCTGGGATGCCCCTGTGCCAAGCCACCCTGCCTTGGAGCCAGCCGATTATGGACTAAAACCTCTACAACTATGAGCTAAATAAACCTTTCCTTCTTTAACCTTGGGTGTCGGGCAGTTTGTCTCAGCAATAAGAAAAGTAACTAAGACACCTAGTACTCATATCCTCGTGAGGCCCACTCACACCGACTATGGTTGGTCCGTGTGACCAGCAAGCCTGCCACCTTCAAGGTTAGGATATGGAAGTCACGTCACCTTCCATGTTGGTTCTCCCTCAGCTGCCTTGCTCTGCTGGAAGTCATGGAGTGGGCTGCCCTATGGAAGGGTCCCTGTGAAAGAAAGGAGCGTCCTGCTGCCAGCTGCCAGCTGCCAGCTGAATGAGCTGGAAGTGGGTCTTCCACCATCAGTCGATTCTTAAGTGTTCTCCTAGCATCTCCTGAGAGGGCCTGCAGCCAGAACCACCTCGGTAGGCTTTGCAGAATTCCTGATCCTCACAATTCCTGATCCTGATCCACATGAGGCACACAATGCTTGTGGTGTTAAACCGCTAAGGTTTAGAACATTTTGTAACAGAATAGCTAACTGCTACACCCATTTCACTCTCAGCAGCTGAGTTCACCTCCTACTTGACACATTAAAACCTGAAGCATTGGCTAGAGGCTCCACTGTACGTGTCCCTGCCTCTCCACACACCCCCACCCTCTCTTGTAACAATGAGGTTGGTGGCTCTCAACGTTTTGGACTCCATCTCTCCTGGTCTTCTCATGCACCTTACACTACAGACTGCGTTCACATACTGTTTCTTTCAGATTCCTTTGTAAAGGCTCAACTCACTCACATGAAGGAGAGCCGGAGAGGGGAAAGAAAGTGGCCTTCTGCAACCCCAGGAGATCTGTTATCGTCTGTCCTATGGCATAGACTGCTAACCGTTCTCCCACAGTCATGCTCTTCTTCTCCTTAGTAACAAGGGACAAACAGTTTTATCTTCGGGGTGAACATAATGATAGGGGATTTTTCTGTCATTTCAATCTGTAGGCCTATTTGTGCAATAAACAAATAAAAATAGCATAGAATAAAATCAATTGAGTAGAATACAAAAAAAGAGTTCAGATCCCTGTTTGCTTTACCCTGAGGAAAACTGAACATATTTAAATGTATTCCTATTATCCCATTCCCCAAACCATGTGAAAATCTCAGTTAAGCCAGTTTTTACAGACCGTATGACAAAGGATACAAATGCTCCTAATACAAATGTTGGATTAAAGACATGGTTCTGAAAGGTGAAGAGGGTAAGCCCCATGTAGGAGAAGATGAAATTCTCTGCCAAGAAATTGAGAAGCTCAAACAGCTGAAACAAAAATTTGAAAGGTTAGCCTAGGAAATAAAGTTGCACAATTTGAAAACATATTACTAAGATAATGAAACAGACATTTCAAATATGTAGAGTTCATACATACATCCAAAAATATGTGACTCAGAGGGGGCAAATGTAGAGATGACACTTCCAGTCCCACCAGAAGAGCCACAAACATTGCCCCTTCACGTCCCCCTTCAAACTCCCGTCTCCAAATCCCTGCTGTCAATCATTTTTCTCCTCCCCCTCCTCTTCCAAACCCTGTCAACTTTTCTTTTGGTGGCCCTGTCAATACCCAAGCTTAGCTTTCATCATTTTTCACTCAGAATACAAGAGGACCCTCACTGCCATCCACAAGACCCCTTATTTCCTACTCTGCACCCGACAAGTTGCTCTAAAACTGGCACTGCTGAGCTCTGTCCCTGTCTATGAGCTAAGATCAGCTCAACTTCTTCCCTCCACAGAGCACTTCTTGACTACTCACATATCACTGGCTGGGACTGATTTCACTCTCGCCTGAGTCTTAGCCCTCACTTAGTGACTAAACCTCCAAAAGATGGGGCACACACACCACAGTCCTGTATTCAGTGCTCTCCCCATGGCTGCCTGGCCAGCCCCACCCTGTTCACACCACTGCTGCCCCAAGCGTCACCTACAGCAGGTGTACAAGACTTGCTGAATGACTAGGGAAGGCCCCCAGTAACTCTCTGGCCATCACAGTTTCCCAGAGTTCTCTGGTTTACTGCAAAAGGAAGGAGGTTGAGATCATGAGTTCTGGAATCAAAATGCCTGGGCTTGAGCCCTGCTTTTTCTACCGGTTAGCTGTGTGGCTCTGGGCATGTGAATTAATCTTAAAGCAGAGTTAGGTTATTATTAAAAAATAAGAATAAATATTAAAATAAGGATATTCTCTTTCACTGATTTAATATTCTATTGTTCCTACTTAATAATAACTATAATGTGTCTAGTTTCTACTATGTGTCTAATACTATACTAAGGATTCAAGTGCATTATCTTATAACACCACCATGAGGTAGGTATTTTTATCATACCTTCTTAATTTTTGGTTGTTTGAGGTGCTTGGCATTGAACTTAGGGCCTTCCACGTGTCAGGCAAGAGCTGTTGCTGAGCTATATCCCAGGTACTGCCCACCATCTTGAGATAGAACTTTATTGCTTCCCAGGCTGTCTTTTCCCCAGTACCAGGGATTGAATCCAGGACCTTGCACTTGCCTTGGAATTACCTCTATTTCAAAGAGAACAAAACTGATGGCCATACATTCAGCAAGTGGTGGAACCAGGATTGGCTCCCCAGTGCTGGCTTTAATTCACAACACAGGGGTTGGTAAACTTTTCCCATGAAGGGCCAGAGAATAAATATTTGAGGCCTTACACATCATAGAGTTTCCGTAAAGTGAGTATCCTGACATGCCTTTTACTTTTTAAATTTTATCAGCATTATTTTCTGTCATTCAGGCTGGCTTTGAGCTCACTTTGTAGCCTAGGCTGGCATCAAACTTCTGACAATCCTCCTGCCTCAGCCTCCCAATTGCTGGGATTACAGCATGCGCTTCCACATTTGGCTCTAGCACTCCTTTTAAAAGCTTAGATTAGGAAACAGCAAGATATGTGGAAGCATACAGTTAGTCAATGTGAAAATTTTACACATAAATGGCTATTTTCAAAAAAACTGATGGAAATATTTAGTACAATCACCTGAGCCATCCTGTATACACATTTGCATATTTTTGCCCTTTTTTCCTATCTTGTCTCCTTTCTCTCATCTTTGTTGTTTAATCCTTAATATGTGCGATCTAAGAAACTACATCGAGGACAGCAACATGTAATACAAAAATCATGCTTGAATACCTGTCATCTTGGACTTCTAAATGTGTACCATTTCTAATGTCATGTCAATTATTACTATACTCTCTTCAAATTTAAAAGACAAAAAGAAAAATAAAGAGGGACAAAAACAAAAATTTAAAGCTTCTGGAAAACAAGTGGTAATATGCAATCATATGTTCCATCTTATATAACTATATCTGTTAATCTGAGCAACAGATTTGACGATAAAAATGGATAATATATCAACCATTGTTAATCAGCTATTCTTATTCTGAAAATCTGTAACATGTGTATTGCTGTATGTTAGCTTTTTTGTGTCACTGCTTCTGATTTTTGTTCTTGCTTTTGTCTTTTCCTTTTCAAAATGAAATAAAATTAATTAAAAAAA